TTCACAATGCCTGGGATCCAATAAAAACTTTCAAAGAAGAAGAAAAATATCACCCATGATGTGGAGAAACACCAATCAATCAAAAACTACCTAGAATAGATACAGATATTAGAATTAGTAGACCAGGACGTTAAGACAGCAATTTTAACTGTTTTCCATATGTTCAAAAATCTTGAGCAAAAATGGAACTTGTTAAGTAGAAACACAGAAGATATGAAAAAATACTCAAATCTAACTTTTAATAATGAAAACTATAATGTATGAAATTAAAAAATACACTGAATGAGATTAATGATATATTAAACATTGCTGAAGAAAAGATTAGCAAATTTAAAGCATAGCAATTGAACTTATCCAAAAAGAAACAGAGAAAAAAGACTTAAAAAAAAAAAAAAAGATCTCAAGCAGTCTAAGATGTGTGTAACCGTAGTTTCCAAAGGTGGAACAGAATAAAAATATGTGAAGAACTAATGGTTGAAAAATTTCTAAATTTGATGAAAAGTAGAAATTCACAAATCTAAGAAGCTCAATGAATCCCCAAGCACAAGAAACAAGAAAAACTACACTAAGGCACATGTGACCAAATTACTCAACACTAGTGATAAACAAAATCTTAAAGGCAGAAGTGGGAGGAAAAGGCACATTATGTACAGAGGAACAAAGATAAAAATGGCAGGAGATTTCTTGTCTGAAACAATGAAAGTGTGAGACAGTGGAGCAACACTTTCAAGTACTGATATTTAAAAATTGTCGACCTAGAATTCTATAACCAGTGAAAATACCTTTCAAAAGCAAAGATGAAATTCTGTTTCAGACATGCAAAAGCTGAAATAGTTCATCACCAGCAATTCTGCACTAAAATAAATGTTAAAAAAAATTCTTAAGGGAAAGGGAAATGGTAAATGACGGCATCTCGACAAAGAAATGAAGAGCACTGGAACAACTTAGATGAAATAGACAAATCTCTTGAAAGACACAAACTACCAAAGCTCACTAACCAAGAAATTGTTAGCCCAAATAGCCCTGTATCAATTAAAGAAATTGAATTTGTAGTTAAGAATTTTCTCACAAAAGTAAACTTCAGATACACATGGCTTCAATGGTGAATTCTACCAAACATTTAAGGAAGAAATAATACTAATTCTAACCAAACTCTTTCAGAAAATTGAAGAGAAGGGAATACTTCCCAATTCATTCTATGAGGCTAGTATTACCCTCATCCCCAAATCATACAAAGACATTACAGAAAAAGAAAATCACAGATTGTATCTTTTACAAATACAGTTGCAAAATTTCTTAACAAAATTTTGCAAATGTAATTCAAAAATGAAAATGTGACAGTACATCATAATCAAGTGAGGTTTATCCCAAGAATAGGACAGTATTTTAAAATCAATCAAGGTTATTTATTACAATAGCAAAATTAAAGTAGAAAACCACAGAAACGTTTCAATGCATAAAAAGCAATTGACAAAAATCCACATCCATTCCTGATTTTTAAAAAAACTCCATTAAATTAAAAGTAGAAGGGAAATTCTTCAACTTGATACGGTCATTTATAAAAAATCTACAGGTAGCACCATTTTAATGGTGAAAGAAAGACTAAATACTTTCCCCTTATGATCAGGAACAGGATAACATGCCCACCCTCACCACTTCTTTTCAAGATTGTAGGGGAGGTGCTAGTCAGTACAAAAAGAAAAAAAAGAAAAGAAAAAGAAAATGATAAGGCATCCAGATTTGGAAGGAAGAAACCAAATGTCTTTATTCACAGATGGCAGAAAATCTAATGGAATCTTCAAAAGTGCTACTAGAACTAATAAGTGAATTTAGTAATATCTTAGGATACAAGATCAATATAGAAAAATCAATTGTCTTTCTATATACTAGCAATGAACAATTAAAAATTGAAATTAAAAAAGTACCATTTATAAAAGCATCTAGAAATATAAACAGGGATAAATCTGACAAAAGACATAAAAAACCTCAAGAGTAAAAACTACAAATATTGCTGAGAGAAATCAAAGAAGACCTAAATAAATGGTGAGCTATACCATGGTCATGGGTCAGAAGACTCGACATTGGTAAGATGTCAACTTTCTCTATGTTGACCTATAGAGTCAATGCAATCTCACTCAAACAATTCCTTTTTATTTTGGAAATTGACAGGCTGATTCTAAAATTCAAATGTAACTGCAAAAATCATAGAAGAGCCAAAACAACTTTGCAAAAGAATAAAATAGGAGGACTAATATTACCTAATTGCAGGACTTATTATAAAACTATAGTAATCAAGACAGTGTGTTATTTGCATAAAAATAGACAAATAGATCAATGGAATAAGCAGTCCAGAAATAGACTCACACATACACAATCAATTCCTTTTCAACAAAGGTACAAAGACAATTGAGTAGTGAAAGTAAAGTCTGTTTAACAAATGGAACCTGAACAATGGAATTTACATACACAAAAAAACCCCACAAAACTTCAGTCCACATCTCATAATATATAAAAAATTAACCCCAAATGGACCATAGGCCAACTATAACACTTATAAAACTTCTAGAAGAAAATATAGGAGATTATCTTCTAAACCTGGAGTTGGGAAAGATTTCTTGGATACACCATGGAAAACATCATTCATAAAGAAAAAAAAGTAATAAATTAAGACTCCATTAAAATGAAAAACTATTAAGAGAATAAAAAGACAAAGCACAAGTGGAAGAAAATATTTCTAAATCATATGTGTGAAAAAGGGCTTGAATCCAGAATACATAAAGAACTTTCACAATTCAATAATAAAAAACAAAAAATGAAATGAAAAATGGGCGAAAGAATTGAACACACATTTCATCAAAGACAACAAATAGATGGCAAATAAGCACATAAAAAGATGTTCAACTTTCATTAGTCATTGAGGAAATGCAAATTAAAACCACAATGAAATATTGCTACAAACTTACAGGCTAAAATTACGGCTGACTATATCAAGTGTTAGGATGTAGGACTGGAACTCTCACAAATTGCTGGTGGGGACATAAAATGGCATAGCTAATGCATAAAACGGTTTTGCAGTTTCTTAAAAAGTCAAATGTACACCTACCATACCATCCAGGTATTCCACTCCTAGGTATTTACCCAGAAAAAATGAAAGCATATGTCTACACAAAGACTTGTACACAAATGTTGACTTGTTTTATTTGTAAGAGCCAAAACTTTTGATACATACAACATGGATGAATCTCAAAAGAGTTAACCTGAGCAAAAGAGACCAGACACAAAAGGCATATATACTATATGATTCCACATACATAAAATTCTAGAAAATTCAGCTGGGTGTGATGGCTCGCACATGTGATCCCAGCACTTTAGGAGGCCAAGGCAGGAGAATTGCTTGAGGCCAGGCGTTTGAGAACAGCCTAGACCCCATCTCTACAAAAAATAAAAAATTAGCTGGTATGGCAGTGTGTGCCTATAGTCTCAGCTACTCTAGCTGTGACAGGAGCCTAGGAGTTCAAGGCTGCAGTGGGCTATGATCTGCACTCCAGCCTGCGCAGCAGAGCGAGACTTTGTCTCTGGAAAAAAAAAAAAATCTAGAAAATTCAATCTAATGTATAGTGACAGAAAGCAGATCACTGGTGGTGTTAGGAGGACGAAAGTAGACTGGGGAGAGGTGCACATACAGATTACCATGGGGTACAAGAAAACTCTGGAGGTAATGGGTTTGGTCATTATGTTAATGGTTTTGCGGTATCAAAACGTATGTCAAAACTGTCAAATTTTCCCTCAATAAAGTTGTTAAAAACTGAACCAACAAAGCTGGTACATTTAGATAATAGAAATCTATGCAACAGTCTTAAAGAATGAGATAGGGCTAATATATACTGATGATTTCCAAGACACAATATTAAAAAATAAAGTACTATAAGCAATACACTACCATTGTGATTTTGTTTTAAACAAAAAAGGACAGGCTGGGTGTGGTGGCTCACACCTGTAATCCTAGCATTCTGCGAGGCTGAGGCGGAAGGATTGCTTAAACCCAGGAGTTTGAGGTTGCTGTGAGCTGGGCTGACACCACAGAGCTCTAGCCCAGGCAACAGAGCGAGACTCTGTCTCCAAAAAAAAAAACGACACTTAACCAACTCTTCCAACAATTACTTCTATGTGCAGAAAGATACTCCAAAATTGACTGGGGGGGGAGAGGGAAGGTATTGGCTAGAGTGTGGGGTGGGAGAGACTTACTTTTCACTGAACACCTTTTGGAACTATGATTCCCCACTACACCCACACCAAATGTATCATTTTTAAAAACAAACGTAAAGTAACCCATTGATTCCATCTCTACGGATCTGTCCTATAGGAACACTTGGGGAAGTGTCAAAAGATGTATGTACAAAACTATTCACTGAACAATTGTTACTACGTGTTAATGAAATAATTTATGGAAAAAAGTTCTAAAACATTGCTATATTTCATATTTTTTTTTAAACATAGAAAATAATGGCCTAAAACTAACTTGCTCTCTTTCACAAAAATCTCAAAGTACGTAGACTTGACAACAATTGCCTCTGGGATGGTTCTAAATGGAGAGTTGGGGGACAGGCAATGAAGGGGGAAGTGTGTGTAGTGACTTACTTTCTAAATTTCTGAATTGCAGGAAATATTTTTGGAAATGAGTGTATATTTCCTTTTAAATGAAAAAAGTCAATGAAGACTTTTTTTTTTTTTTTTTTTTGAGATAGAGTCTCACTCTGCTTGCTGCCCAGGCTACAGTGCCGTGGTGTCGGCCTAGCTCATAGCAACCTCCAACTCCTGGGCTCAAGCGATCCTCCTGCCTCAGCCTCCTGAGTAGCTGGGACTACAGACGTGCACCACTACGCCCAGCTAATTCAACGAAGGTTTTTCAAATATTCAAATCATTGGTTTCAGAATGCAGGGTCACCACAACAGATGTGAAACTATACTGGGTTTTACATTGGACTTCAGAAGACACTCACCCTTTTCCGAGCTTCAGATTTCTGGAAGCACTCATGCTGGATGAAAGTCGCTGCAGCACAAATCCTGGATGGTGGCGTGTGGTCTGCATCAAGCATATTTACTGCTCGCTCCAGGGTCATCTCCATGTCTGCATTCCTGGACAAACAGTCACAGATTCAGCAAGATGCCAAACCTGCTCCCTCCTGCCTACCAACTTGATCCTCCAGAGATGACGCAGCTAACCTTGGGGAGCACCTAGAACATCTGAGCTTTGGCTTTTCTTCAGCCAAAAAAAAAAATCAGCACCTGAGGTCAGAAGGTACAGGAAGACAGTGGCAGAAATACTCCAGCTCTGATCAGACTAGCCTCTGAAGATGTCACTGAATAAAACAGAATCATAACATATACCAAAGAAAAGTACTGAACTCTTTTTTTAAGATAAATGTGTATAGTATAATAATTACACCTTAAAAAGTGTCTTTAAAAGGACAGTAAAACTTTTTAGATGGAATTTAAAAGAAATTTGTTCACAGAAACTAAAAATTATTTCTACCCTGATAATGTCACACCTATAGAGGAAACATCTCTCAAAAGTCATTAGATTTTTCTCAAAGCTGCTCAGAATCTGTTATCTCACCTGAAAATGCGTTAAAAATATAAGCATTCTAAAATGTTCTTATTTAATACATGTAATAGTATATAAACAGTGAAAGTCAGGAAAACTGAGTTTTGTTTTGTTAAAGTAAGTCATGCTGGTGTGATAGAATACATTAGGAAAAATAATAATTAAATGCAATTATAAATATGTTTTTTCTTAAGTAAAACAAATATATTCTGTTACCATTTGCTTTGTCGCTATAATGACATTCCCTTTGTCTATCCTAATAGCAGACTTTTTTTGTCCTTTATTAATTGCAAGTGATGATGAAGTCTGATGCAGTTTGACACAGAGAGGATAATTTATAGAGGACAAATAAAATTGCCACTTGTAAAAAATGATAACTCCCAAATGCCTCATTGAACTGTGTTTTTTCCTCCCCTTTTATTTCTGCGTGGAAGGTGACTGAGTTAGGCAGTCTTTTGTCAAGGTGGATGCTAGCACATTGGGGCTCCTGTAGGCACTGCCTCAGAGAAGCCTAATCAGGATGGCAATGTCTTAAGACCATGGTCAAAAAGTAATCTAGACGCTTCTTTGGCTCAAAGAGGGTTACATTTGACTCATTCCAGTTAATGGAGACACTGAAGACATCCTGGGAAGGTGTTTTATATTTGCTAGCAAGCACAGCGAGTAAATTAAATTCTCTTTTCTATCAGGCAAACCCACTAATATATGCATATGTGTACAGATGTGAGTGTGAGCCGTGTTGTGAAGGGTGTGTTTGCGTGTGGGTGGGTGTGACGCAGGTGAGGGGATAAGGAGTAATGGACCTCATGACTAAAAACTAATACCTACTGCTTCTGAAACACTTGTTCAAACATAGAAGTGTTAGCTCATGAGTATAAGGGCATTAAAAAGGAAGCAGAACACTTCTGTCATCTATACTGTGAATTATATAATGATCTCATATTTTAAAATGTGCCTCAGGAGTTAATTTTAACTGGTAAAAAAAAATGCAGGCTATTAACCATTAAAACTAGAATTTGAGTCATTTTCGTTTATATATTGTAAACATATCTTTCAAAAGAGATGGGAATACTTTGTATGCATGGACTCTGATGCCTTAGAGAGAAATCAAAACTCTCCAAGTCTCAAGCTCAATGGCAAAGTTAAGTCATTACCAACCATCACTATAGGTGTTTTAACTGATGAAAGATTGTTCATAATATAAGAATAGCCTTCTGTTTCACGCAGCTTTAAAAAATGATTCAGCCATTAATCCACCTTATAAGCCATAAATGACTCAGGAAAATTTGAATTTCCTGTCTAACACCCACAAATAATTCCATTACTCTAATCCTTTATTTTCCTGAATGTGATTCACAAAGAAGCACTGCATTCACTCTCAGATGACCCAAAGCTACTTCACTTTATCACTAAAAACAATTCTAAACTAAATGAAAACTTACTTCCTCAGTAAGGTTTGCTATAGCTGTCTGGGCATAAATTTTGTTTTGTTACTGTCTATAAAACCCAACTCCAGGCTGGGCACAGTGGCTCACACCTGTAATCCTAACACTGGGAGGCCGAGGCAGGAGGATTGCTTGAACTCAGGAGTTCGAGACCAGCCTGAGCAAGAGCGAGACCCCATATCTTCTAAAAATAGAAAAATTAGCTGGGCATCATGGCATGCACCTATAGTCCCAGCTACTTTGGGAGGCTGAGGCAGGAGGATCTCTTAAGCCCAGGAGTTTGAGGTTGCAGAGAGCTATGATGACACCACTGCACTGTAGCCTGGTTAATGGAGCAAGATCCTATCTCAAAATGAATGAACAAATGAATGAAGCAAATAATCCTTACTGAAAAAGACAAATATGCAGCAAAGCATTGAAAATACACAATAACCAAGGCTGGGCATGGTAGCTTATGCCTGTAATCCTAGCACTCTGGGAGGCCGAGGCGGGAAGATCCCTTGAGCTCAGGAGTTGGAGACCAGCCTGAACAAAAGCGAGACTCCGTCTCTACCAAAAATAGAAAAAATTAGCCACGTATGGTGGCGCATGCCTGTAGTCCCAGCTACTTGGCAGGCTGAGGCAGGAGGATCGCTTGAACCCAGGAATTCAAGGTTGCTGTGAACTAGGCTGATGCCACGGCACTCTAGCCCAGGCAACAGAGCAAGACTCTGTCTCAAAAAAAAAAAAAAAAAATTCAACTCCATAACACACATACTTTCTGACCCGAGTCTGGTTCCATTTCCTGATATCCTCAACCCCTTTTCTTCCCCTTCCCAGATTATCTGCACCACCCTCCAATCACATGGGACTTTTAATCCTTCATAAACACTGCCCCTTCTTCACAAGCCATTTCCTTGTATTTTTCTAGGAAGCTTATCATTCTACCTAATTCTTACCCATTCTTCAAGACTCAGTTCAAATATCACGACTTCTGTGAAACCTCTGTGCACCATGCCCAGCTAGTGCTATTCCTTTCCTCCTCTGTTCTCCTGCAGTGTTCCTCTCCTCCATCCCTTTCTCTCTCTCTTCACCTTTCCTCCTTTACTTCCTTCTCCCTCCTCCTTCCTTCCTGCTTCCTTTCCCACTCACTTTAGAAAACACTTCGTGAAGCCTGCATGAATGTGGCCTGAGAGATGGGGTTGGGGCTAGGGCTGGAGGATAAGGAAGAACATTTGTTCCCTTGCCTCATTGTCCCCTGAACGTAAACTCCAGAATGAATCTTTTAACTTTAGTTATTAAATAATATGTTAAATTGATGTCCATGTAAATGAAAATAATGTAAGAAGAAGCAGTGTAAAATACCATTGGTGAGATAATGGTATTTGATATTACTATGTCTTATAATGAGACATTACAAAAAAAGTAAAAAATAAAAATAGAAAACAGTAGTTTTTTTGTGTGTACAATCTCCTGGTAACCAGCATTCCTGCTACTAACAACATAGCCCTGCCCCAGGCAGGTTCCCCTGATGTTAGAATTCGGCTACACCTCTGAAGGCCAAGCAAACATAAAGATATGGAAAGCTCCTGCAAGTGTCAGATGCTTGGTAAGTCCAAATTCCCTTACACTTAGGATAATTCTAAAGTGTGGTGAAAGCACTACTGCAGTGGGCTAATGAGAGACTGGGAAGTGACTGGGTCGTTTAAGAAGCATGGGGGCGGCCAGGTATAGTGGCTCATGCCTGCAATCCTAGCACTTTGGGAGTCTGACGTGGGAGGATTGCTTGAGGTCAGGAGTTCGAGACCAGCCTGAGCAAGAGTGAAACCCTGTCTCTGAAAAAAAAAAAAGAAAAATTATCCAGGCATGGTGGTGCAGGCCTGTAGTCCCAGCTACTTGGGAGGCTGAGGCAGGAGGATCACTTGAGCCCACGAGTGTAAGGCTGCAGTGAGCTATGCTGATACCATTGCACTCTAGCCAGGTGATAGAGTCAGACCCTGTTTCCAAAAAGAAAAAAAAAAGCATGGGGGCAACAGAGATGGAGGAAGAGAAAACATCCAGTTGTTGGAGGAGGTGGGATGACAGTTTTGTTACTGTTAAAATCATTTTGCTAAAACTGTGCCTATCACAAATCCTAGACTATAGTAGGCATTCCATAAATTTTAAATTATCCATTTACAAGCCTTTATCAGCTCTTTCCTCCATAAATACTTACCTGATACATTTTTTCCTCTTTATAAGTGTGTTCATATTGCCAAAGATCTTACTACAAGAAAAATTAGAAGTCTCATGCTGAATTTTACTTTATAAAAAATATTTCCTGCTTCAAGATTATATTCAAGATTAGATTAGCCCTAACATCTTGAGAAGTAGCTTATCACCAGTGCCTGCCTGGTCAATGGGTACGCTGCACAATTTCACTTAAAGGGATGATTAGAGGTAACAAGTACCATTAAGCAACTTTAGCAACCAAACAACGATGACATATTTAACATTTTATCCTAATGACACTAGATCATCATTTCAAGAGTTATTGATTTAATCATTCATCCATTTCTCAACCTTTCTCTTAGTAACCTACTCAGTTTACAAAATTTGCACTCTAGTATTAAACTTGAATAAAGGTTAAGTTCCAAAACTAATTTAAATTAAGCCATAAAGTAAACAGGAAAGGGAAAGGAATGCTTTAAAAATCATTTTTATCATTCAATATTGCCAAAAAATACCCTCCAAATCACCAATGGTGGAAATCAAAAAGTAAAGGTACCAGGTATCAAAGGAAGGAAAGACTCCTAGAAATCGCTGCCTTTTCATAGTTCTCAGTCTTTTTATGGTAGTAGTTACCAAAACAGCATCTGACGTCCATGCTTAGCACTAAGAATAAGCATTTTTACCTTTTCTTTTCTTTATTTCAAGGAATGATTAAGAAAATGCACATTCTTGGTCTACTTTGGAGTTTGCTCTTGTTCAGAGCAGATTTTCATACAGCAGTGGGATCCCTTCAGCCAGCATCTAATCTGGAACAGATGGACTCAATGTCACATTTCCCCACAGAGCTGCCATGTGAGCAGGTAGCTTGGCCCCTGTCCCCGAGATAAATAGGCTGATCCGTCAATTAGGCAGCTGCCTGAGAAGTCATTATTTTAATCACTTATCTCTGGAAACCTTTCTCTCCATCCCCAGAAGTGCCAGCTTACGCTGTCAGGGCTGTGGGAACAGAATGTGCTGGCACTGACTGAGCTGCAGATTCAGAAAGGGACTCACCCGAGTTGGGAGTCGGCGAAAGTGCTTCTCTCCGCTGAGAGCATATTCCCACTTCCCCCTGCCGCTGCCTGGGCCACGGTCATGTGCGCTCTCCTCCCGCTGGAATCCACAGCGACACTGGGCCCAGCTTCCCTGAGCGTGCGGGTGCTGTGGAAGGAGCTCTGATGCCAGGAGGATCTGGCGGCCCTGTTCTGAGTGACGGGCTGCAGGGGCACCAGTGGCCTCACCTGCCCGGCGGCAGGCCCTGGCGTCAGATAGTTCTCCTTCTCCAAGAGATTTCCCAGGCTGTGACTGGTCCCCGGCCTGGGGTATGTGAGCACCATTGGATTGGCAGGGACGCTGTCAAAAACCGTGTCACTAACTGATCCATACTGGTACTGTCTGTGGTAAGTGTCATAGTAGCGCTGCCTGTTTGTGGCACCACTGTTGCTGAACCCCACGATCTCTGAGCGAGCGTATCTCGGTGGCATGAGCAGGGTGGCCCGCCGGCTCTCTTGGTGACGCAGGGCTGGCCCGGCCTGGCTCCTCTGGCTGTAATGGTAATCGCTGAGCGAGTAATGAGCCCTCTCCGGGCTGCTATCCGGAGAAATCTCAAGTCTCCTTAGAGGCTGCCTCAAGGATCTTTCTTCCACCGACTTCTGTGAACTGTACTGTGCCTTTCCTCTCCCCCAGCGACTTTCATAGGCGGCAGTTGTGCCAGCCTGCATAGGAGAGAAATAAAGTTTCAATGAGGCATAAATCAGTTTTCATCTTTGTTGAGGACTGTTACACAAGGTGTCCATTTCTCTGAATCAGATAAGAAGGTGGCACCTTTCTGAGTAGTCACTTTTCAAACAAGACTTGGTTGACTTCAGTCATATTTATTTGAACTAGGATGTGGCACTAGGGACTGTGTTTAAAGTCCCTGGTTTTCCATGGTGCCTTTACAAAATCAATTTTCTCAAAATTCACTTAGGAAATAATAATAAGTGGGAAAGGTAAACATTAAAAAACAATCTAAGGAAGTCTGTAAATGTTTTCACAGTAATCTGATAACTAGGGTGACATTCTTTGATATCCTACCTTTAGCACGTCATAGGTTTTAGTAACAGGGGAACGTCCTCCAACAAAATCATTTTCAACCAAGTGTAGGTTGTAGACATACTCAGGAACACTACTGGTTCGGTGAAGATTTCCTGCAATCAAGCAAATGTGAAAACAACTCAGAATATAAGTGGGCCAATCAGTACATACAGACTGTATAACAACTGTACATTGAACTTTTAAATTTAAGTAATTAAGGCCAATAACAAGTATTAAATTTATATTAATGTTTTTAAATGCTGGTTTACCACCGCCCTTGGATATGGCAAATGACCAAAGGTTACCAAAACATTCTCTACAAGTTTTTCAAAATGAAAGTTGAATTAAAAAACAAAAATAAAAAAAAAAAAATAAAGGGAGAGGGGATTCACAAAAATCCAAAAATGTCTGGCTGTCACCATGCTGAGGAATTTGGGAATCACTCTTTTGTTTAAGTGGTCTGTACTATAAAGTTCAGTTTCTCAAGTCAGAGAACTCTGTTCCTGGGGCAGGAACGCAGAAGCTTTTTGTAATAAGTAGGTGTAGGCAATAAATATAATGGTGACTCAACATTACTAGATAAGACGGCTTGTGTAAACAACAAGGTGGATCAGTGCAGTCAAAGAAAACATGAATCCACTTACGGCCAAGGCTGGGGTTGAGGTATTTGGCAATCTGAGAGTTAGGCAGGAGAGGAAATCAACCCCTATTCTACAAATGACTGCTTTTGTGGAATTATCTGGCTCGTCCTTTGTTTGGGGGTCTAGTAGCCAGCCCACTCTCCCGAAAACACTGCCACTGCCAGGAGGCAACCCTTAGCACTCAGCTCCGTGGAGCCCACAGAGACTCTCAGTCAATGCATGTCTCATACATCTTAAAATACATCTCTTTGAGGGGAGGGCCATGGAAAACAGCACTTCGTCCCTCTTCTGCCTCCTTTATCCTTCTCTTAGCTTTTTCCCCCTTTTGTAATCTTTTACTGCCTCATCAAAAAAAAAAAAGCTAATCAAAATAATCAAAGATCTCCAAAACCTAGGTAATTTCTAGTTCCCTAATCCTAACCAAAATTCCTTTTTCTGTCATGTTTCTTTTAGAAATCTGAGGGTAAAAGAATAATTAACTCTTCTAGACTTCAGAGACTCATGAAAGATACTGAGAATAAAACAACACATGCAGTTCCTTTCCAATACAATCGGAACATAACATACTTTTCCAACAAATTGTTACAAAGTAAAAATTTCAAAAGACTAACAATACATTCACAGGATATTCTGAGGGGGAGGAAGAATGGAAATTGTTGTTGCTGGAGAACTAAAAAGTCTGAATCCATTCCAAATTTTGTTTGTACATGTGTCCTTATTTCCTGCAGCCAAACAATCTGGCTGATAAACAATTTCCAAGCCTCAAGGAGGACTTCGGGGAGGCAGTGGCAGGCTTGTAACTGTCACCCTAAAGACAAGGGAAGTTGAGATAAGACAGGCATCTCCTGTTTTCTCCACAAGGGTTGGCAAAAGGTCAGGCAGACCTTAATTTTTAGCCCCTTGACAAAGAATGCTTGGAAACCTGGACCTTGAATGAGGGAAAGGAATCTTTTTTTTTTTTTTTAATTCTTTTTGTAGAGATGGGGGTCTCAGTACATTGTGCAGGCTGGATTCCAACTCCTGGGCTCAGGTGATCCTTCTGAGTAGCTGGGGCTACTGATGTGCACCACAGCACCCAGCTTGAAAGGATTCTTTGCCATGACCCTGCAGCAAATGTTAGGTCAGAACTTAGGACTCAACCCTTAATGCCTGGCTGAGGCTCGGGCACATGCTAACCCTTAATCCTCAACTCTGCACCCACTGTTCCTTCTCTCTTCCCCAATCCACATCCCCAGTCTACCGAGGGCCCTGCTGGTGTGGGAAAGGAGGCTAGCAGGACAGGTACAGGGACAAAAAGGTTCTAATCCTGAAGGTTCTAGGGACCAGGGTGCCCTCAGCCCTGGGAATGTGGAGAAAGGGGAAAGGGTAGGGGAGAGTGCTTAAACTACCCCACCCCCAATAAAACAAGCCTTCTCTACAGAGGCTGTGGCCAGGCAGAAAATTGTTAGCTGACACATAAGAAACCGAATTTACCATCTTTTTAAAAATTAGTTTAGGGGTATCCATGTTCAAAATTTTAGATCACATGGAAACTAAATATACGAAGGTCAGGGACAATCTAGAATGGGAAAATACTAATGGTCACATATGGATGGAGGCTGGAACCATTAATTTCTGTTACTCTACAATAAAATGGCTGATGATGAAAGCATGCAATTTTAGGAATCCAAAAAAAATTTTTGCAAATGGGGCCCCTGTAGCCCACCATCACCTGCAATGTTACCTTTGCCCTACTTCCAGGAGTAGGTAGATATTCAGGAACAGTTAACAGGGGACTACTTCCATCTTTACACTGACATTCCTGCAAAGATTTTTAAAATATATAAGAATCTTTGGACAGGACCCAGTGAAACAGTATATCCTATCAAATAGCTAATTAATCAGTGAGTTTTATAATCAGGCTTGTTGAATTAATATGTTTAACTCACATATTAAACATTCAAGCTGTTGCTGTGAGTTTTAAGGCTTTTTAAAGGAATTTTTATGAACTCCTCACATTTCAATACCTTTCCTTTAAGTAGCTCAAATTATTTTACATTTCTTTACAATATTCTATGATGCAGAGTCGGCTAGTATCATCTCTATTTATAAGTAGGGAAACTTCAATTACTTGCTTTAAATTGCAGAGATTTAATAGTCAGGTTTGAGCTCTAGATTCCGCCCTGGAGGGATTATTATCATAGTTCTTTATATGAGAACCAAAAACAATTATTCTCTCTTTCCTTTAGAATGTTTACCTAGACAACTCCAAATAATCTGTAAATATTAATCCTTTACATTTGCCAACATAAGTTCTTATAAGGAAGCTTCTTCTTCAGTTTTAGATGAATGAACTGAGACCGGATTAATGATTCTCAAAGTAACTACAAGGCAGATGGAAACAGGGAAATAAATGAGATTGATTTTTTTAAACCATAGACTCTCCTGTGGAATACACATACAAGATGCGACTCCTGACATTCCACCTGCAGGCTGGCACAATCGATGGTTTCTCTGGTTAAATGGCCAATCTCAAACAACAGATGATGCTGATTAATTTGCCTAGGCAGTCATGAGTTTGAAATCAGTATGGTGGATTAAAGGTGAATTAACAGCTGTGTTCTAAGATTTTACAGAAATTTTAGACTAGATGGAATTTTAAAAAAAGGTAAATACTAATGAGGATGGAAACTAACTTCTTTAAGGAAAGCCATTATTTTCTGTTCAGAGAATAATATGGCTGTCGAGCATATAAAATAACTTGGCCATGTCCTTTTCAGAAAATAGAAGAAAGCAAACAAAAATAAATTATACATACTGGTGCATCCTGCTTTAAATAAATATAACATGAAAATCCAGATTTTCTTACACTGAAAATTAAGGTGTGACTCTATTTCAAAGGATTTGTTTACTTCTAAAAAGGTGGTAAGTATCTTCCCTAAATGGAAGAAATCTATAGACTTGCTCTGGAGCCTCCACTCCACTACTTTTTGTGTGTGTCGACAGATCACTTAGATGCCTGTTTTCCATAATTTCAGCTACTAACAAAATTTCTGAGAAAGACGTTTGTCTGAGAAAGCATACATCCAAATACTCTCAAAATGGTAAGGTGACGGGTTTCAGGACAGGCCATCCCCAAATATGGCACCTTGGCATTTGAGGAAACAGAAGCAGGAAGTTCACCCTCATCTTGCTCTCACCCTTTTTCCCCTGAAGCAGACCATATAAAGTCAAGCTGACTTTCCCTTGAATTAGGTCATAAAACCCTCATTCCAGAAGGGTCCTCCCTATACCTGGAAGAAAAGAATGTCACACAGGGAAGAATCTGAACAAACAGGTTCAGATTCTAAGTTCCCCCAGTTTATTACCCCTAGATCATGCCCCCTTTGTCCAATCATACTTCTGCATGGCTGTCTATAAAAATAGACAGCTTTCTTTGCTTCTTTGGGTCTTCATTTCTGAAGGCTGACATGTCATGTAAAACTTATATTAAATAAATTTGTATGCTTTTCTCTTGTTAATCTGTCTTTTGTTATAGGGGTCTCAGCCATAACCCTAGAGACCGATGAGCAAAGAAATCTTTTCTCCTCTACAAAAACAATATGCTAAAATGAGATATGGTTTTTTTTGTTTGTTTGTTTTGAGACAGAGTCTCACTCTCTTGCCTGGGCTAGAGTGCCATGGCGTCAGCCTAGCTCACAGCAACCTCAAACTCCTGGGCTAAAGCGATCCTCCTGCCTCAGCCTCCCAGGTAGGTGGGACTACAGGCACGTGCCACCATTCCCAACTAATTTTTTCTATTTTTAGTTGTTTGGCCAATTTCTTTCTATTTTTAGTAGAGACGGGGTCTCGCTCTTGCTCAGGCTGGTTTCGAACTCCTGAGCTCAAACAATCCTTTTGCCTCGGCCTCCCAGAGTGCTAGGATTACAGGCATGAGCCACTGCGCCTGGCTGGTGAAGGATTTTTTTGCATATGTTGGCATATAACATAGGATTAATTTGCCTGGATTTATATATTTTTTTAAATACTTCTTTTATCTTCTATTCCTGCTTTCCAAGAAAAACCACCAGATATTTATAAAAACCACAATTCTACATCTTGCATACAGCCCAGGTAAGCATTTGCTTAGGCTGAAAAATCAGTAGACTTTGTTGGTTTAGAAAACTATGGTGAAGAACTGTTTTAAAGCAGATCAAAGTCTAATAAAATTTAAAACTTTATTAGAAATTTATTGAAATTTATTGAAAATTTTATTGAAAATTTAACAAAAAGTTGTGCAGTGCTGTACCTTGTGATGAGTTAACACGGTTCATATAATCGACTAGGAGAAACAACTCGGTGTTGAGGTATACGCTGGAAAGTACTAGTTATGAGTGCTTACAAAGTTGAATAGCTCTCCTAGAAGAGTGGGCCACACACTCTTTGTGCCAGTGTGTGGCTGACTACTCACTGTTATCACTCACATAATATATACCAGCCACTGGAAGTCCTCA